ATATATATATATATATTTATAAACTACTACTTACTACTTGTACTACTATTCCTACTTCGCGGTTTTTCACTTATCACGGGGTTTCAGGGTACGGATCCCCCACAACAAATGAGGGACTGCTGTATACTAAGGCATTTTAAACCCTTCCCACACTCTTGCAATATTCTAAACAATGTTTCTAAACTCTAAATACTCAAAAAGAGACAGAATGTCATGATTTCAGCTCCTGCCTCCTCTGCTCTTCACCACCTGCAAGGAGAAGGGGTTCTCTGCAGACCAAAAGTGGGCGTTTCTGGCGAATAGGCATTTGTAGAGGACAAACACTGATTGGCAGCTGTATTTGCTGCACTTTAGTTAAGTTACGTCAACTCTTTTTTAAAAACTGAATGTTTCTAAGAACCAGCGTTAAATCTACTGTCAAACACAAGAAGATTCTCTTTTGTTCTTGGTTGTAGCTGCACCTGACACAGGTTGTCTTGAGTGTGGTCTGGATACAATGAAATATGAAACATCTCAAGCGAAACCTGCTCCATTTGTCAAAAAGTCTGGTCTCAATTAAAGATCATGAGTCCTATGATGAGATAACGACCCAAAACAAATGCTAAAAACAAAATGTTCTCTTTAGAAGTTCTTCTATGAATCTGATCTATGAAAGGATCTGAAACATGGAGTAGGATCGACCCTTCAAATGTGAGACAGCTGAGGAAGTTAACCAGTAAACAGAAATATCTGCTCCAGTTGCAGAAAGCTGACAGAAACTGACAATCACTCATCTGCAGTGACTGATTTAAAAGTTGAACAAGAAAATGTGAAGTTAAAGGAAACATCCTTTGTCCCAAAGTCAGTTTAAATAACATTAATATTTTGGTTACTTTATTTTTCTTTCTTTATGAATCGATTGTAACTATTTTCACATTTTTCAACAACCAAAATGGATTTTGTTTTTTAATGTTATGGCTTGGTTTAAAAAAAAAAACATTTAGCCCTCCCCACTACCCATTTATGTTGCTCTTATTTTGAAATGTAACTGGAAGTTCTGTGCTAAGAGGCGAAAGAGAAGTTATGGAGACGCCGCTAATGTCGAACCGGTTAACACAATCTGCCAATAGCACCTTGTTTTTAGACATAATGTGTCTGTGGTTAACACAAACGGCTTTTTATCGTTCAGCCTTTTTTTCTATTGTCCAATCAGATGTGGCCGGCCAGACACGCCCATTTTTCTATCCTCCAATCATATGTGACCCACCAGACACACCTATTTTCCGATAGTCCAATCAGATGTGGCCCCCCCGGATATGCCTTGTCCAATCAGATGTGGCCCCCCAGATACGCCTTCCGAATTTGCCTGCAGCGATACCTACTTGCCTGCAAACGCTCTTGGCCACGCCCACTTTCCTGCTCTGCACAGTGAACAGCTGATGAGCTGCAGCAGGAAGTTTATCCTGCAGCAGTATGGGCTGCACAAATATTCAGCAGGTGCTAAATAATTTAATTTATATATTTTAAAAAATTCATGCCGATTGTGCAGCTCATCCATCAATCAATCAGTTGTGTGTCATGCCCAATCTTATTTTGAAAAACCGGATGCATCTGATACAAGTGCTTTGTCTTATAAATTTGTCTCCTGAAAGATAACCATAAGAAAATATGATTTACTAAATGCTGTCCTTATTCTTCTGGAGTGTGTTTATGCAAAAGGCAAGTGCAAACATTTGATGCATGAGGATCCCCACTGTTTCTGACAGGCTCGTAATAAATTGCATCAGCAGATTTTCACTCCTCTCAGAGTCTGATGTTCGGCGTGAATAATCGATCTCTCCAAACACGACACCATGACACCAAGGACAACGTCTGTGCGGCTTGTCGTCTCTCACTTTTAGGATTTTCAAGGAAATCTTGAGCCTTAGTGAGAAAACTCTCTGCTGACACAAAGATAAACACCAGCACTGCACTTGGATTTCAGAGACTGAGAGTTTTGTTGTGAAGTTCATGTGATGTCTAGATTCAAAGTAAAGTTTTTTGCAAATGTAATACTTTTATTGCCCATCAGTGTTTAAAATGACTATGGAGGCGCTGCCGTTGTGGAAAAAGAGGCACATCTGACCTGATTTCCAGAGCGCTTCATACTTTCCATGAACTTGTGCTCCCGAGAAATCCACATCCAGCAGTTTGTGATCCTCCTCACTCATGCGAACCAAGGAAAATGTGATTGCGAGGCGGTACCAGTAAAAGGTGTCAAATATCTTTATCTCATTAGGTGGATTTGATTTAAAGAGAAGTGGTGGTCTGGTTGATAGAATATGAAAAGTGAGTCTCACCCCGTGTCGTCCGGCTGAAAGCCCTCCAGCTCATCTCTTTGCTCATCCAGAGAGGACTCCAGATCCAGATAGGTTCCATTGTGGGAGAGCTGAAGTGCACAATCATCAAGCTGCAAATTAAAAAAAAAAGTTGTTTTATTACAAATTTTTATTGAGGATTTAGTGAAATTTGACAGAAATGTTCAGTCACACCCATGTGAAGTGCCACTGTTAACCAAGATTACAGGCGTGTAAAAACGTGTTGGCCATACACTGTACATACATAAAACTCTCACAGGACTTGGCTCGCTCTGTCAAATGCCCACTTACAATGTCTGCTCATGTTTCACACCCTTTCTTAAAACAATACAACCCTCTAAAATAAAGCCAGTTTATGGGCAAGGCGTTTGAACTCGAGTGTGCACAGTGGTCTGACAAGGAGAAGAAGTAAAAAACATTTGCTGTGGGGAGCTGCTTTTGACATCACAGGGCTATTAGGACAATTAACTAGTAATAAAACTGCAGGACATGAAGCCTAAACCAGAATGGAACACAAAACGAAGGACAGACTTAAATACCATCTGTGAGGGACACGACAATATTTCTTAAATTGCATACAGAATGAAGCTCCAGCGCATGTAAGTGTGCTGTTGTTGTGCATGCGGTGCTGCTGCTTTGTTTTTCCTGAAGACCAATCTTGCAGCCACTCCATCTATGATTGCTTGATCGAAGGTGACACTGCAAAGCAGACCACATGAGAATGGACTCCTTGTGCCGTGTAATGAGACACCCTGCTGAGCTTGAGACCAGGTGCACAGTAAGTAATACATCTGGTTGCGTTGCTGTTTATGAGTGCAGTCACAAGTCGAGAGCAGGAGCGCGTGGACAAACCAGAGACGACTCGCAAAAAGCGTCTCTCCTCGTTGTGTTGCAACAATCGACCAAATGTTCTGCAACTTCTGGGTAAGGCTTCAGGGGAGTCAGACACTGGCATTTAGCAGCTCAGTGTTAGTATCAGTGGGAATAACAAAGCTCTATAGGTGTGCTGCCAAATGCCCCCCTCCACCCCCACCAACTATCCACTCTAGTGGCTTGACAACTCTTTGTGACCAGGACAAACCACAGATCACAAGACCTGCTCCCTGTCTGACCCTCCAGTTTAGTCGGGAACAGAGACGGACTGTCCGATGGGCTCACTACTTAAATATAACCGTGCTATATTTACTCTGCTCTGAGGCAGCATGTAATGGGGAGGGGTTGAAAGGCGTGTGCACGGGGACTTTGAGCCGAATGGGGGGCACAAACTGAAAACTTTGCTTTGTGCTGCTTTTTTGTAGTGAAACGCTTAAACATCAGACCCAAGAGAAGAAAGTGGAAAGCTGACAAGAGCCAGTTAGCAACAGGCTAGTAGAAGCGGGAAATGAACATGTGATCGACAGACATCTGAAAGTGTTGCGCTTTTACATTATTGAGACATACTTGTAAAGAATCTACCCAGCTCACTCAGCCTAATCTCAGAGGATCACATGATCTCTATTTATCTCCCGTGTTGCACGTCAAGCTCCTTGTTGGTTTATTGTGATGTTGTGGCGGTTCTTGATAAAAGTGAGAAATTTCATCAAAATGGTGCCTCGTGCTTAGAAAAACCTGCATTTGTAAAGTTTGAAATTAAAAACAATCAGAACAGAGCCCTTTTGAGTCGTTGATGCTTTGATTGATTAGTTTAGTGAGATTCCTTGACTGGCTATGATGAGGACCGTCCTAGTCCAGATGTTTAACCAAAAGAGCTTTGATCATATAGAGCAACTCTAGATGCCACTCTCCCATCACTCCCCTGAACCAGGTGCACCCTCCTACACCCTCTCCTACACCCAAACTCAAACTTCACAGTTCATTCCCTGGTGCGGTGAGCTGGTCTTGGATGATCTTATCATTTTTTTTTATAAACATCTAACTTGATGGTTTTGGGTCCTGCTCCAGTTTCCCATGATTCCCTAATAAGATCAATCCATCTGTGTCTACTAACCCACTTGACAAAACATACAGCACCAGCTGTTGCTCTATCAAAATCACTGCACTTTCTCAAATACCGTATAACATGATAAATTTAGAATACAACAAAATTAAAAATAAAAGGAGAAGATTCTTGATAATTGAGATGTTAAAATGTCTTCTTCTTATTCTTCTTCTT